CTGTTTGTTTGTGTGTGTTTCTCTCTCTCTCTCTCTCTCTCTCTCTCTCTCTCTCTCTCTCTCTCTCTCTCTCTCTCTCTCTCTCTTGCGCGATCACTTACTAGACACTTCACGGTCTGTTGGAAACAAAACGTGGACGTAGAGTCTGAGAGCTTTACCAGAGAGACCACCAGTCAATCATAGGGAACCTATAGACAAGCAACCTTTCACTCTCGCATGCACACTTATGGAAAATTTTGAGTCTTCAGTGAACCTAACGTGTGTGTTTTTATAATGGGGGAGGAAGGCATAGTTCCACGATTCAGCCCGCACAAGCAGATTTGAACTCAGAATCTCTCACTTGCGAGACAGAAACGCTAACCATCTAACCCACCGTACCAGCCACCCTGACCTACACCCAAGTTAAAACCATTTGCAATGAAGTAAAACATACTTATCAGGGTCCTTATGACTAGCTGTCTGTTGCAATATATTGATGATTGTGTATAATCCATTTTTGATGTGATGATGTCACAAATATTAATTATGTCATTCCCACAGGGCTTCCTGATTGATGCACGACCAGCAAATGCATGCCAGCCCATCGACCCCCCGCCCAGGGACAACTTGACGGGTGCCTTCGTTGTCCTTATCAAACGCTTTGACTGCAACTTTGATATTAAGGTTTGCCCTTTGTCACTGCTTGGACGGGATATGCCTGTGTGAAATACAGTGGTACCTTGACTTATAAGTAGCTGCTGGACGATATGAGGGGTGGGGAGGGGGTGTTCTGCATAATAAATGTTCTTAAAATGACATTACAGTAGATTTTACCTTTTTTTTTTCTTGTCAAACCCACATTCAGATATACCGAGTTTAAAGTTAAATATATTTGTGTTTAAAATTGCCCCACTGAAAATATTTCTAGACAAGAAAAATAGTTTGTCGGGATGTACAATGTGAATTTAAGAAATAAAAACATATTTTTATTATTTGATTTTTTTAAAAAAAACTTACTTCAGATTCCTGCAATTAACCAGGAAAAAATACAGCTCAAAATGAAAACTTTGCTCCTCAAATGAAATCATTGGTTAGCAATACTACAAAAAAAAAATCTAAAAAAAAAAAACAATTGAGCTTTGCACTTCGCAACAGCCCTTTGAGGTACACTTCCAACAGACAAATAAAACACTGTCATCGCACTTCATAAAACCATTTTATTTCTCTTCTTTTATTCTAATTGTGTACATTATAGTGCTATATTTTGCGTTATTGGGGAAAAACTGATTAAACGTGAATGAAATGATTTTTAATGAGCAATTTAAACCTATAAGTCAAGATACCAAGACGCAACACATAAGTTTATATATATTTAACCAGTTTATTTTCTTACTGAAAAACAAATGCATATGTGGTTAAAAAAAGTTATTTCAACAGCCGTGATGTTCCACTTGTCAGTATTTAGTGTTTGAGGTTTAGCTTGTCTGAAACGATAGCACGAAAACAGGAAGTGGGCCCTTCTCTCAACCCGACATACTCCATACCTCAGTTGTTCGTTACTTTGCTCATGACTGTCTTGACTTTTGCAATAGCTGGCAACTGAACAACTTCAAATTCTTTTTATTTGTATTAATTCAGAAAATGACAAGGATTAGAAGGAATTTGATCAAATAAATACAAATGGTTGGCCATTTTCAGACCCTTTCAGACCCTTTTCAAGTACTGTCAATATAAAATGAGGAGCTGGGATTAAATGTGCGGCATCTGAAAGACATCTAAATACGTCTTTGGGAGTGAATGAGTTAAAAAAGTGAAAACAATCCATTGAGGTGTGTATTTGGGTTTTTATCCATCCATGTGCTAGTTTGCAGCCTATTTCCTGGAGGATGGGGAACAGACAATTCTGTGGGATGTATGGTGCTATCGATGCCACGGTGACTCGTAGTCCAGAAATAAATAATGACTATCTGCAACCTAATCCATATCCACAGAAAAAATACTTGTGTGGCACACCCAAGCCCCTTTGACAAAGAGTTGAGGTTATCTAGTTAAGTTAGTGCAACCTTGACATGACAATTGTCAATTTTCCAAAATACATGATGTCCCCTTGGTTGCAGTCTTTTCCTTGTTTTGTCTTCTTCATGCTCTGTTAAAAGTGATCAATGGGGCAGATGTGATGTAAAAGGAGTGGGAGAAAGGGTGAGGGTTAAGCACTGGAAGAGGATGTGTGAATAATTGTTGCGAGATGAGCAAAGCATGCTGGATCTTGGCAGCCTCTCCTCCTCGCCTGTATGAGCTTCACCCATCCTCTCATTCACCCATTCATTCATTCATTCATTCAGATTGTTCTTAGTTTTTTGTTGTTTTTTTTAACACTTGGTTGCTCGGTACATTGGTTAAAGTCGAGCCTGTTTGCCCGTTTCTTTCTTTTCGTCTTTTGTGACTGAACCAATAGTATAGCCTTATAAGGCCTTACTGCAGTACATACGCACACACACAGACAACATTTATTGTTGTAAACCATTTATTCAAGGCCGGGCCACCCCCACCCTCACCACACTAGTTATGCACACACAACACACACACACAGGAATTTGAAAGTCGGGTTTTTGTCAAAATGGCCTCGCATTCCTAAAATCTTTAGATCATTGAGACACAGACACACTGGTTGGAGTGTAAACCAGATTCCATCTCACAAATCTGATTTGCGTTGACACACACACACACGCCTTGATGGTTGCCATTTACACTCCTCACCCTTTTAGTCAGATTAGTGCTTTTGGCTCTATTTATTGTCTGTTCTTGGATGAAGCAAAGCACTACATGGATCACGGACTTCTCTCCAGTAGACTTTTTCCTGTGGTTGGTATTTTATGCTGCCCTGTTAAATATACTTAAAATGAGTTGTGTCTTGTTGGTCTTGTACACACAGATTAATCCTATACCATTTGCCTGTGATCCAGATGTGCTTCTCCTGTTGCATGCACGAATGGCCTTAAGGGGGCAGTGTGGTGTACATATGCAAATACAGATTTGCTGAAAAGAACGAGAGAAGAGTAGTGTTTGAGTTTCAATACTATCGATCGTTTTTCACTGAGAGGAAAGACATTGTGTCTCTAAATACAATTATATTTCATCTTTCTGTATACAGTATGTTGCTGCGCTGTTTGCGGTCGAATATTTGTTCTTTAAAGGTTTGCACTGCGACAGCAATGCTATTTGTTAGCCGGCTTGTGGCGTTCTGCATCTTGTGTGTGAGCATTAACCTTGCAGAGACAAAGCTGTTTTTTGTAAGATAAAGTATGTATTTGGATTCATCTACAACGTGTGTATTTCTCTTTTCTTGTATGTTTAGTTTTACAGTAAACTTTAATTGGAATGCCTGCCAATAAACCATTTGAAGCAAGCACACATGGACTCTTTTTGGAGAACTGCTTGCTATGTGGCAAACGACACACCGCAGGCTCTCGAGGAGGACAGTACAGCATAGTACGTATAAGACGAGCTTGTATTGGGTGTGGTAGTATCGGAGTGCTTTTTGGCGGGGGATGAGCAAGAGCAGCTATCCTTGACTTTGGTGTGCCTGCACTGTAAGAGCTAACAGTGCAATCTACTGTATGTACATCACAATATCTATTTTGTCCCACTTCTATTGCGCTTATGTTTGTATGCATGTGTCAGCATTCAATATTGCCACCCCCATGTTATTTCCAGAGAACCGCCGCCCTAATGCATTAGCTGTTAGCATCCAATGAGTCTACATCATAATGGATCTGTTGCTGTAATGGACAACAAAAGAGACTTGTGTCCACTTAACCTTTGAAGTGTGAGCACTTCCACGCGCTCGTGCGCGTTTATGTGTGTGTGTGTGTGTGTGTGTGTGTGTGTGTGTGTGTGTGTGTGTGTGTGTGTGTGTGTGTGTGTGTGTGTGTGTGTGTGTGGGAAAGAGATGGCATTCCTCCTGATTCTTTTTAGAAAACAAATCTCCAGAGGAAAGGGGGTTGCACTTCCTCGAGCCAGATTTTTTTAATGTATTTCGGGGAGTTGGGGCGGCACATGACATCAGTGACCTCTATGCAGGAGAGGGGAGGTTGAACAGGAAACTGGAAACCCCAACGCCCTCCCCCCCTCTTCTCATAGCGTCCTTTCTCGCTTCTTTCATTGTCAGAGTTGACTGTTCCCCTTGCATGCGCTTTCAAGTCTATACACATTGAGACATAATGTTCTAGTTATGCAACATGCACAGCCGAGGCCAAATGTTTTAACACACAAATTTGCTGGCATTGGACTGACAAACAAGCCAGATTTGAACATTTTCCTTGCCTCGCAATGAAAGTCAGCAAATGTCAGATATCTCCTTCAGCTTAAGGAAAATGGTGAGAGCCTGCAATCGTAAATGTTAAAACTGTTCAGTACTCTTCTGCGTGTGGTCAATACCAAGTTTGGCCAAATTGTGGACTCAGCAGTTGTGACGTGCAACAAAATTAGAGACATTTAGGAAGCAACCTGAAGCTTGCCACAAATAGAGGTGCAACTGGTTGTGTTTTGTGTTTATGTAACATTTCACAGGTCACTTGAGACAATAAAAATGACAAGGAGAAGAGTGTGCAAACACAATGTATTTATCAGATAAGCTAACAAACAGCTAGCCTAGCTTCTCCGATAGCTGTTGTTTTTGTTTGTTTGTTTGTTTTTTAAGTAGTCTTAACATCTACCTTTCATAGGCCAGTCTTGGTACTGTTACTGACATTTTTATGGGTATGGTGTGCTGTGTTGTCTTAAATCCACACTGTGTCTGAGTTGGCAGAACACGTTTTCTTTTTCATTCATTCATTTGCAAAACCAGTATGTGTACTCCACTTTCACCTCTAATAGTGTCTGGTCCGCAGACCTGAGGCATTGAGCAGGTGTGTAGAGGCGGACGAGCTGAGAGAGGTAAAGTGGGGTCAGGCCATTTAAAGATTTGAAAACAAATAATAGGATCTTAAAAAGAACTCTAAACTGTATAGGGAGCCAGTGAGGGAATGCCAGAGTAGTAGTTATGTGCTCCCGCTTACGAGTACCAGTGAAGAGTTGAGCAGCAGCATTTTGGACCAACTCGAGATGCTTCATGGAGGATTGGCCTACTCCAAAGTAAAGTGCATTTTAGTAATCCAGCCGGGATGTGACGAAGGCATGCATTACTCTTTCAAAGTGCTCTTGAGAAAGGAGAGGCTTTACTTTAGCCAGCTGCCTAAAGTGAAAGCACCTGGATTTAATGACGGCTGTTCCAATTTAAAACCGTCCAGTTCAAGACCCAGGTTTGAGACTGTTGGCTTAAAATAAGGAGCCTGGGGGTCAAGTACGCAAGATGGGATGTACAAAGGCCACTGGGACCATATGCCATCACTTCTATCTTCTTTTGATTGAAATTCAAGAAATGTTGTGCCATCCAGGTCTTGATTTCCTCCAGACAGAATAAAAGTGGCCTCAATGATTAACAATCAATCAGTGGTTAACAGAGGAAGTAAAATGAATGATTTCAAGTACTGCCAAACTTCCAAGGTGTTTATAACTCAGTGATCAGAACAGTGTGATCTCCAGGCATAGAATCATTTTTAATGATACAATGTTCAATGAGTGTAAAAATGAGTTGAACTGTTGTAATGTTAATAGTTAAAACAGTGAAAGACACTCTTAAGGTGGAGCTCTCTCTCCTCGACTCTCGTCTTCGCTTCCCCTTAAAGGGGCCGCACCCAGCGAAATAATGATCTTACAAATCATACAGATAGATTACTGCATTGCTCTTTATTCAGGAAAACAGATGTTTTCATTAAATGAAATGATATAGTGATCTCGAGCTCCAGCAAGTTTTAACATGTCAGTCTGTCCATTGAAAGGATGTCTGCAGGGCAACAAAAAAAAGTGCTCCAGCATATCTTTGCTTTGGGTGTGGCAGGGTTACTTCCTCTTCGGTTCTTTATCGTCAGATCAAACATTTGAGACGCTTTGGCTGACTAAGGTGTGGCTTGGCTACAGGGCCAATTTTTCCGCACCAGCTTAATCTGTTTGTGAGTAGAAACCATACGAATCTGCTTTTAGCAACCTAAGTTAACCATTTGTCATCTCACCTTTTATTTATTTATTTTTGCAATAGTAAACCTCATCTTACTGTGTGCACTGGTAGGAAGGCGAATTCTGTTTGTGCTACACTGACCTGCACAGCCCTGGAGCTATGCACAATAACAAACACACACATACAGACCTTGCTTTTATGAACGCGATGATCTGGCTTCCTGCACGCGCTCATTCGGTCTCATGACTTGACTAAGTATGACTACGGCTGACTGGATGAGTGACTCGTGGATGTTTGTGGGTGCTGATTCTCCAAGTTGTGGCAATAAACAGCACCGTCTGCCCCCATGGGTTCGCGGGCGCGCGTGCACACACGCACACACATATGTATTGCCAAACACACATGGTCTTATATGAGTACTTATATGAGAACACATACAAGTCGTATGTAAATTTTTTCCCTAAATATCCATTTTCACAGAATGTGTTGTGTTCACTTAGATTCTGACATGCAGTCAAAACAAGTCCTTTGGTATAAAGGCATACACTGCTGAACTGATAAAAATGATTCTGCGTTTTTCTTCAATGTTACCCCAAGGCGTGAGATTGACATTTCTGTGCATTCTTAAAGCAGCAAGACCTCCTTTACATGTGGTTAAGATATATAGCGCATGGATTCCAAGTTGGAGCCAGGCATGCCAAATGTTCTGCACATGCGTGTTGGAGAATCCAACGACAGCGATGAGTATGATGCGTCGTGCCAAATCTGATAAGCGAAATGATCTCTTTTGACACCCAATACGATAACGGATATGATCGATTCTCTCCATTAACACGGTGGTGCCAGCCACATTAAAATGTGTTGCTGATCTCTGCGGTTACACGGCAAACAAAATAATCAGCTCCAACGGAGTAAAATAACTTTGCAGCTGTACAGGATTATCATGGAACTGGACTCCTCCCTGCAGTTTGCAGGTTTATTGAACCCTTTATCTAATCAGTCGTCTGGACCTTGAAGCTACAAACCTGAGCAAATTCCTCTGAAACTCAAAAGAAAAGGCGGAGAATGGGGGTTGGGTACTGAGGAAGAAGACAAGGGAGGCAAGGAATAAAGGCAGGAGGGTGGTAACATCCGAATAGTGGCTGGGCACACCTGAGGAGATCATAAGAAAAGATAACAGAATGTAATAAATACATGCAAACATTTTTATGGGGGGTAATGTGCGGAAGCCAATTTTGTCAAAACGGTCGGAACACACCGAGCTGCAAAATTCTTACAAAAATGTTTTAACGGGAACACAACGAAACACGAAAGCATGTAGCTTGTCATCAACCAGGGTGAGTTAAATATTTGTTAGCAAGTCAAAATGTTGCTGATGGTGTAGTGATACACACGCCTGACTTGTGAGTGGGCAGCATGGGATCGGTTCCCATTCCGTGACGGTGTGGATGTTGTGGTTGTGAGTGGTTGTTTGTCTTGATATGTGCCCTGTGACTGACTGGCGACTAGTTCAGGGGGTAGTCTGCCTTCCGCCCGAAGTCAGCTGGGAAAGGCTCCAGCAACCCCTCCGCGACCCCATTCAGGATAAGCAGTGTTGAAAATGGATGGACGGATGATGACAAGTCACAAAGTCATCATTGCTTTTAAGCAGGAACAGATACATACTTGAGTTAAGCCTTCTCTATCTGATTTGATAGACTGTAATTGAAGTATGCACTCACACTGTACGCTGTAATCAAACTATCGTCATTGTTATGACGCTTGTGATGACTTCAAACCAGATCATTTGGTCAGCAATTCCAAACGTCACAGTGGCGCGGATCATTTTCATTTTTCGCGATACATCTGATCCAAATGACAGGAAAAAAAAAAAAAAAGAACCAATCTGCGTTGACCTTCATCAGAAAAATGGCAGTGTAACTCACTACGAATAGAAAACAGATGTGACCGACTTGCCAAACTCATCTTCAACTTACTAAAAGCTAGTATGTCCCTATATGACCGGTGTCGTAATTTGGTCCACGTTGCCGGCAATAAGTCAAATTTATTTACAGTGAGGATTGGATAAGACAATTGTAGGAAAGGAACCATAGGTTTGTGCCTATTTGTATGAGTATAGCAGCTGGAGCATTGTGGTGTAAATATAATACACAAGGGTGAAGCACAGAAAATGAGTTGAGAGAATGTGAGCGGAATGAGGATATGGGAGGGATTTTGATCCTATGGCAGAACAAAACAGTGCATGAAGCAACCTGCTCTAGCTGCTGTGCTGCATCAGGGAAGAGATCATGTTGAGAGGAGGAATCTGCCGTTATCATTGACACACACAGACACACACGCGCGCGTACTGAGTTGATGTGGCAATGATCGCTGATGCCATCGGTGGTCTATTTCTACACAGGTGTTGCTTTAGAAGAGTGGAAAAGGCAGTTACTCTGCAAGATGCCGTATTTTCTTGCGCCTTTTACCTTCAGCTTTTTTTTTTTTTTTTTGGTCTCTATGGTATCCATATGGTAAATCCACCCATGGGTCCATGTTGTCCAGTTGTGTTTGTACACATCCACAAGTGCCGCATGGTACAAAAGGAAATATTCTCACAATAAATGAGTTGGATTTTCTTGAAAAAGTCATCGTTAAAACTACTTAAATCATCAATCAAAAATACACATAAAAAAATGAATTTAATAAAGTACATGACTGAATATTTCAGAAATTGGCGAAATAGATTTTAAGTGCTCCAAACTTTTGTGCCGGTGCATATTCCCCCCCCAAAAAAAAAGTTGGGAGCACCAGTGAAAAAAATTGGTTAGAACCCTGGACAAAATAAATAAATACATGAGCAAATGATTTAAAATATAACTCTTTGGGTGTGGCCAAAGAAAAAAAGAAGAACATGAATCATTTTGGACATATTAAACTTTTCAATGTCCTCTTCCACTTTATACTTTTATTATGTTTAACTAAGATACGGATCTCATTCTTGGTAAAATATTTCCACACATTTATATATGGGCCGTCGTGTGCCAGGTGTTACTCAGTGTATTTCATATATTAATGGTGACTGTAGACACCTAATTTTAACCCTTTCATGCACAATTTATGATAACCTACATGTTGATTTTTAGAGATTTAGGGCGGGGGGATTCATCCATGTGGGAGTAACTTTTGAATATCTGTCTACTGCGGTGACCGCCGTACCAGAAAGGGTTAACCTGCCTGCTGCAATCAGACCGGGTTCAGTGAAAATGTATCTTTTACTGTCAGTTGGCTTTCTCCATGCAACATTTTGGTTCATTGAACCAAAGACATGGCACTTCGCTTTCGTCTTACGTACAATGTCTGTCTCAGTTTGTCTGTAATGCAAAGGAGATGGACGAAGAATGGCATAAGGCCTGAATGTAGCAATGAATAACTGCTTGGGAAACTGGTCATTCTGTCAAACCGTACAAGCTACGTCTTAAGTGTAGTTTGACAATGTTTAGAAATGTATAAGAATTTCATGTCTTCCCAGCTCGAGGGTTCCTGCAAACAAATTGTATGGTAACTTGACAAAAAAACGATATGCAGCTCCTATATGATAGTCTGCAAATGGAAGAGCAGCAATGCAGAAATGCGACACAGCGTTGACAGTCCCACAAGCGCATTTTTTTTCCCTCTTTGTGAACTTCCTCTTCTCTTTTACTTATTCTCTCACTTCTGCTCTCCTTTTTGAGCCCTCCCCCCTTTCAGTCTCAGGCATGTATCATATGTCCATATCTCTGCAGAGGCCGAATTCCTCTGCTCAGAGTGCACAAATGGGGCTTTTGTAATCCAGTGACCGATAAAAGACAGTATGTTGTGCAAATGAACATTCTCTGTCACTGTTTCGTCAAAGCGAATTGAATCTTGACACGGTCTATGAATCGACATACTGCTGAGGGTGCTGGCGTCAGCTCTCCTTATCAAAACGCACAGACGCACACACACACACTCACACATCCAGAATTGTGCACGTGTCCGTTATCCAGACAGCGTGCACAGTGGCCATTGATGCATTCAAACAATACACACATATGCAGTCACACTGGCCCGACTGCCATACACAACGCTTCACATATGCGCGCACGCTCAGAGAATTGCGATGACATGGCTCAGACAAAAGACAGGACTGTTCTGCCTAAGCGTCCAACCGTGTCTTTGTGCACACACACACACAGTTGGCACGTCACAGGTCTAAATGGATTGTCTTGCATCACAGCAGAGGATTTTTACAGAGAGAAAACACCCCGGTCCATTTAAAAAATAATAATAATAAAAAATTTTTTGGGTGCTTATTTTCAGTACAAAGTGAATGGGTGAAGTGTGGGAAATGATGATAGCATACAAGAATCAAAGGACAGTTCTTCGGCCAATGAAGATACTTGTTTGAGACTATCCATCCATTTTTTCAGATCCGCTTTATCCTCATAAGGGTCGCGTTCAATCAGCCTGCCATGCATGTTTTTGGAATGTGGGAGGAAACCGGAGTACCCGGAGAAAACCCACGCAGGCCCGGGGAGAACATACAAACTCCACACAGGAAGGGCGGAGCCAGGATCGAACCCATGATCACTGTGTGGTCGACGCGCTAACCACTGGACCACCGGGCTGCCCGTGTTTGAGAATATGATGTTTTAAATCATCGGTTTACATTTTACAGTCCTGAAGAAAACAGCCTCCCTCACTTAGTCAATGCAGGACCACAAATAATTCCAAGAATAGTTTGTGACATCCTATTTCCTTCGCAACATCTGCCATCAGCGGCCCGCTACTACAATAGCTGAACAGGATGCCGTCGCTTCTGTTCCGAATCGGAGCCCCACAGATGGAAACGATCGTCATGACAGTGTGATTCATACAGCTTCCTGCACATTCATGACGCAGCAAACGTTGCCACCGCTGGGAGGACCACCAGGCAACCTTTTTAAAATACAGGACACATTTTTAACCGTACAACCCACTGCGGACATTCTGTCGACAACTTTATACAGCCATTGTGTATTGAAAGTATTGGGACAGCCGGGAAAACGTCATCATTCACCGGTTTTGTCAATTATTCCGGAAGACTCTAATAAGAGGAAATACTCATATACTACTGTCTAAAATACTTGCAATGTAATATGCAGTTTCCCCAAAGCATTTCTTTCCTGCGAGATCAAAGCCAATGGAATTGTTTTAAGCTTTACTGCACATGTCCAAGCCATCAACTATGGGTTTTCTTTAGTGAATGTCTCCTGTGGGTTTCAGAGGGACAAGTATGGGCAAGTTGAGTGTTCATTGCATCGGAGGGAATGCTCTGGGCCTTGGGTGTGTATGAACCAAGCATGTTGTTTCTTGCACAGACTCTTGGGGAATGGGCTGCCCGCACCACGATAGTCTTGCAGAAGTGTCAAATGGTGTTCTACATAATGATCAAGCAACATGCTTTACATTAACAGGCAAATGTTTTCTTCTCCCAGGTCCTCAATGCACAGAAAGCTGGGTACAAGGCGGCCATTGTTCACAATGTGGACTCCAATGACTTGATCAGCATGGGCTCCAATGATCGTAAGTTTACTCGCGCCGTCTCCTGCATAACCATCCGCCATAGCTGCCTGCTCACCAAGCTCGACGACGCTCGAGTTGAGGAATCCCTGTCAAGTCCCAGGATGTTTCTTGGAATGTTGTGATGCCCCGCAGCGGCTGAGCACAGCCTACTTTCGTCACCGTGATAGTATCTGTCCCCTGTCCTCACTTGAAAGGGCGCACCACAGTCATGAATCATCGTGAAGGTGCTTTTTTTTTTTTTTTTTTTTTCCCCTGTTGCAGACCTGCCAAGCATGTTTCTTCTTGTTTCTATGTCGAGACCTGACACATTTAATCATGCCCCCCTTTCACGCCCGCCTGACAGCTCCTGGTATTTTATGATTGTGAAGCTCCTGTGATTGCTGCAAAATCATGCGCAGTAGCTTGGGTCAGATGTGCGGAGGCCACAAATGACATGGTTAACTACAGCTCATCCCTTGCCGTACACCAGGGGTGTCAATCTTATTTTTGTCGTCGGCCACATTTGAGTTACTGTTTCTCTTGGAGGGCCCTTATGACTGAAACCAAATTTAAAAAGTCAATAATACCGGTTCATTCAACGATTGTTTAAGTTACTGTAATGTATTGTTTGGTTACAAGAAAATGCTTACAATATGTCTCATTTATTACATGTGAAATTTTTCAATGTTGGTTTTAGCAAGCATCATGCAAGTTGACATGCTTGATTTGCTCCCGCGCGACACGTAAAATGATGTGGCGGGCCGGATCTGGCCCCCGAGCCTTGAGTTTGACACCAGTGCCTTACACACTGTCCACTTTGCTTGCGCCCACCGCTGCAGACAAGTCAGCTTTGTTTGAATCATGTTCAAGCTTGGCAACATTTTGAGAAGTCACCGCGGTGCTATAAATGGCAATTGGATCTTCAATTTAGATTTTATGTCCGATAGATGGAACACCATTCATTCAAAAGTATGTTTCACACTTTGGATTGAGATTTTCACTTCACAATAATACCGGACAGCCAAACTGAACCGTCTGGGAGAGAAATCCGGTGGCCTTTGCCATAAAAAGGTTCTCATGACTGGTGAACACCCTGGTGTCAGTTCAATGCGTGGAGGAAGCCATGCACCACTTGCTACTCCAATAATGACTGTATTAACACAAGTGCTTCAGTATAACTAGTCTGATAAAGATAAATGGGCTTCAAGTCATTTTTTTAAATTTCTGTGTCTTGTTTGTAGTGGACATAATGAAACAGATTGATATTCCCTCCGTGTTTGTGAGTGAAAAGACGGCCAACTCTTTGAAAGAAGACTACCTGTTTGACAAAGGGTAAGTTGATGTTGATGAAGTGTACGATACAGAAAAAGGCATTTTTAGCAGTTTTTGCGGATCGCTGTCACTCGTTCATTTTGTTTCAGGGGGCGCGTGATCCTCATGCCAGATTTCAGCCTTCCGTTGGAATACTACTTGATCCCCTTCCTCATCATCGTTGGAATCTGCCTCATCCTCATTGTTGTCTTCATGGTAGGTTCTTTTGTCTACATTCCGATTCTCCAATAGGCTGTTGGAAGTCATGCATCTGCGGTTGATTGGTCCACCTTGCACTGACTTAGACCTCAGCGATCAATCTACTCTAACCAGGCTGCACTACTAAAGCGCTAGGATATAATGATAAAGTTACAGAAACCTTTTCTGGTTTCTTTGTCGCTAGATCACAAAGTTTGTCCAAGATCGACACAGGGCTCGGAGGAGCCGCCTCCGCAAAGATCAGTTGAAGAAGCTTCCGATCCACAAGTACAAAAAAGGTCAGTGTCTGTCCTGTTTTTTTTTCCCGCAGGTATGGTAAAGACTGATCTCTATACCGCATGTGCTTTCTCACCATTTGACCCAGATGAGCGTGATAGCAATGCACTCCGACATATCATTCTTCCATTTTGGCGCTAATCGGATTATTATCGTCTCAAAGGGTTTTTTTTTTTCTTTTAAAGCTCTCCCTGGGTGATCAGAGGTATTCCGAGTGGAGAGTGGACACATGACTGATGGTTAAGAATGTGTTGTCGGGCCAAACTGGGAGGAAAGTAGTTTCTCGCTGTTGAGTGGATTGAACAGTCGAGTTTTTTTTGGTGACAAGTAAGCCACACTTTTCCTTTTTCCCTAATTGGGACTGTTCGGTTGATCAAAATTCAGCTCAGGTAAAGACAGTTTAGTCAGCTATGTAAACAGAAAACATAGCAACCATACCAGCGAGAGTGTGTGTAATTTGCCCATCCGTCAAGTAAAACAATAAGCGGCCGTGTGTGAGAGTGTGGTGTGTTCACAATACTCAGAAACAAGAAAGATGACATTCTCTCTTCCGAACATTCTTTTGTCGTAATGCATTTTTTTTTTCCCAGTGCTGCTCGGTATTTTCTTCCCACTCAATTAATTTAAAAGAAAGAAGATATGTCTCTTTCAATCTGGCACCCTTGCGAAAGGAAAGCGGACCGAAAAATAAGACGTGATGGTATTTCTCTAATTAGAGTTTAGACTTGGTAAAGCAGAATGTGACTTGCTGTCCAAGGTTATTTTTGCGCTCTCTCTTCCAAGGGACTGACAATTGTATAGTATGTTAAAGTCAGTCCGGAGGGATAATTAGTAAGTCGTTACCCTACTAACATCATTGCCGAAGTCATTTTTAGCTTCAATTTAAAAAATAAAAAATACCAACGTGCTTGCTGAAAATTGTTTCTCTTGTTCTTCAAAAAATGTTCAAATATGACTTTGGTAACTAAGTGTGATTAAAAAGTCCTCACATTTGCTTGACACGTGAACCTTAAATCTAGCATTAAAACATATCTAAGAAAATTTGGACCAGGGGTGTCAAACTCATTTCACATGGTGGGCCACATATGGCCTCGGTAGATGTCAAGTGGGCCGGACCATTAAAATGATACAATACTTTGCTATAAATAACCAAAACAATATGTCTTTCCTTTGTTTTGGTATAAAGAAGCACAAGAACATTAGGAAAATGTTGAAATTTAATGAACATATCTTTTACAAAACATTTCATGAAGCACCTTACATTTCCTTCGACAAATGTGCAATTTACTTTTATCATTCACATATATGCATTGCAACTGATCCCACTGATTGTACAAACTTTAACAAGTAATGGGTATTGAAAAATATAGTAATGCACTTTAAGATTAAACAAGATTCATAAAGAAAGCAAGTTTTAAAGCATTTACACGTGCATATAAAATCTAAATGTAATCCCTGCCTACACCTTACAAACTAAGGAGAGTGCTATTAAATGTGTAAATGTGAGAGTGCTATTGATAGCGTCTGCTGTCATGGGTCTGTGTCAGTGACGGACTGAGGCTGCTGTTGTCTTCTTCTCTGATCAAAACAGTGTCCCCTTGCGGATACTCAATGAATTGCACCTGATTAAAAATATTAATTCTGTGTCTTTAATGCATTTTTTTCACTTTTACATTATCCTGCGGGCCTGATTGAACCTACTTGCGGGCCGGTTCCGGCCCGCGGGCCGTATGCTTGACACCCCTGCTTTACATAATCATCCCGCGGGCCGGATTAAACTCCTTTGCGGGCCGGATCCGGCCCGCGGGCCGTATGTTTGACACCCCTGATTTGGACCAAACCGGACCCCTTGGTGCAAAACAAGGCGATTGAAAGACAATCTGAACTCCACACAAGAAAATGAAGCAACAGATGAGAAACTCCTGTAATCAGGATATTGCTTTGCATTGCAAACGCACATTTTATTTGGGTTTTTATTTGATTGTGACTCTTAGAAAAGACAACGGTGCAGCTACTTTGGTCCCTGCAGGGGATCTTTTAAAAGCGAGTCGCATAATAAGGAACTCCCTTGTAAATCTGCATATTGAGGAGGCCATGCTGCTCTTTCCCATGTGAGCCAAATGCAGCGTGAGTGCTCAGTGGCTTTCTGCATCGGTCTGATGAGACTGCTGGGCGGTGGGAGTTTTTTTTTGTGGGGGTGGGGTGTCGGGGGTTGCTGCAGTCCTGCCAGCTGAATCAGAGTATTTGGTGACAGGGAGGAGACACCAAATGTGAACCTAATCACATTTAAAGCAGGCTTGCTTGGAAGCAAACCAAATGATGACTTAAGAGTACGTAGGGGGCCCACGAGTGAGCAATGTGATGGGATTCATTAGTTGGTGCTTATTTGATGAAGACCGTTAGAGGAGCCGGCGAGTCGAAAACATACAAAGCAAAGCAGGAATTAGCCATTGGAGGTTACTTGGATCCAGGTACTGACAGTTTGGGACCAGGCAATGTCATTCAGTCATTAAATCAATTATTTATATTACATTTTAATGAGCTAGCTGTTATGTATACTGGCATGCATTATAAAGACAAATGTCTAATATTTAGGCTCGCACATGGTGCTGAAAAACAAATGATTTGAGAGAGCCCTTGCGATGATTAACAGACTAAATTTGTGTGTTGCAAACCGGTACTAATTTGTAATTGATTGTACGTTCCAGAAAAATTAACCTTCAAAAACAATGACATTTAGTGTTGAAACATTACGAAACAGTCATGCAATCAACTAGGAGTGAACAGGTAAGTGAATTAAAATCGACATCGCATTGTAGTGGAATGCAATTTCCAAATCTCAAAGGTTTGCAATTTTGAAGAAAACTTAGGGATTCATTTTTTTAAACTATATGTATATACAGTGAAACTCCTCTACAACGAAACCTACATGGGTGAAAATACCCACTAGTGTGAAAAAATCTTCATGCATGAAAGCCATTCCCACTTTTTTGCTCCCCCTACAACGAAAAGTCCCCCTGTTGCGTAATACGAAATCTTTTTCTCTGCCCTTACCTCGCAACGACATTCACTACAACGAAAACAAGCCTTCCGCAAAAGTCTAATCCAACCTCAGCCTGCCACAGCCACGCAGTCCTGCTTCGCTCCGAAACAGCAACAGCAACCACCACACTGGTTTTCTACATGCTCAGTAGTACAGGAAGTGTTTGTTATTGTTAGTTTCAGACGCAGCACGAATGTTGCATTGCTAAAATGGCCACAAAACGGACCTTTGCAGACCAAGGAGTTAAGAAAAGAAAAGCTTTAATACTTGAAGACAGGATAAAAGTAAGAAAAATGAAAGATGGAGGAAGCAAAGTAAAAGACATTATGCAAGAAAGACATTATGTAAGTGAAACAGAATGCTGATTGTAAATTTCGCAATTTCTTTCCCGTTTTTTTCTTTCTACGCTGGCTATATCAAGTGTAGGCTCATACTTACGCACTATTGGGATAAAAATAAAGAGTACACATATACATTTTGTGTGTGTGTGTGTGTGTGTGTGTGTGTGTGTGTGTGTGTGTGTGTGTGTGTGTTTACATCTGAGATAAAATTTGCTATAGTGAAAAGTCCCCTGTTGTGAAAGATTTCTTGCTCCAAACATGATTTTGTTGTAGAGGAGTTTGACTGTATATATATTTATTTATATGGTGTGAGGACAGCACTGTGGTCGACCGGTTAGCACGTTTGCCTCACAGTGCAGACTGCAGGGTTTGATTCCGGCTCCGGCCTTCTCGTGTGGAGTTTTGCATGTTCTCCCCGTGTCTGTGTGGGTTTTCTCTTGGAAGTCCGGTTTCCCGCCACATTCCAAAAACATGCTTGGCAGGTTAATGGAACTCTCTAAATTGTGCCTAGGTGTGACTGTGATTGCAAATGGTTGTTCGTCTGTGTGTGCCCTGCGATTCGCTGGCAACCAGCTCAGGGTGTCCCCCGCCTACTGCCCTAAGACGGCTGGCACAGACTCCAGCACACCCGCGGGCGTATACATTGCGGGCTGTTCGAATTTGGATGCTCCATTGAAAAACACTTTTCAACAAAAGAATGAGAGAGAATTTAATTTACACAATGCGCTTCCAAAAAATTGGCAAAATGGACCAAGTGTCACATTTCCATAAATGGTGTACAGTCCGAAGGTGGTGTACAGTGGAAGTCTATAGTGCCCGTGTAATCGGTGCACAATAGCAGCATGAGACATAGGATCTGTGTCAATACACTGGATTATGTAACGGCAGCTGCCGCGCCTGTCAGCGTCGCGCTGCCATTTTAATATCTTTGGTTGCAGTGTGATTGCAGAGCCTTGCATCATCCTCGCTCAGCTTTAGTGTCAGCCTATTCGGTGGACAGAATCACCAACTTCTGTTTATAGCAAGAGGTCGTGGCACATATTTGAAGGTCCCTCCTTCTCAACGCTGACCTCTATCTTGATGATTGCGCGCGCGCGCGCACACACACACACACACACACACACACACACACACACACACACACACACATACACGATGAACAGAGCAGCTGCAGTGTTTCACGACACGGGCACAGAGCAGCGCTCTGATTCAACGACACATTACACACTTCTTCCACTGAGTCTCCTTGCTCGCACGCTTCACACTGCTCATCTGAAGTTCAGTGGGACAGCGTGGCTCCTTCGAGAGACGAGAACGCTGCCGCAGGGCTAGCTGAAGAGAGAAAAAAAAAGTCAAAAGGAGGGGACATGAATTGCGATGACTCCTATGTGGTTTTTATTAGTCCGTTTTCAGGAATGCCGGGAATTTTAGATGTGGCCAAAATGCCTTTTGAGAGTGTCCAGGGAGGAAAGAAAAACTTTTAGGCAAATTAAAGCACACTAATATGTAGGGCAAAATGTTCTAATGAGCTCCAATGGAATACCTTGCTCTTGGGGAACGATACAGTATCGTATTTGCATGTACAAGTGTTTGAGCACACAGTTTATAATTCCTTTCCCGTCTTAAAAAAAAAAAAAAAAAGGCACCAGACCAGTTTTTCGAGTCTTAAGAAAGACTGCGCAGGTTTCATGAATATCAACTTCCTGTTTTGGTCTTTGGGTGGTTAGGTTTGCAGGTGGGGAAATGCAATGCTTGCACATGACGTGCATCGATAATTGAAACCCCAATTTTACACGCGGAAACAATTAACTATGAACAATTCTCTTGTAGTTTTCACTAATCTAGATCGAAAAATAGTTAAATAAATGAATACTAGTTAAATAAGTGAATACGTGTATTGGGTTATTATTGTGGTTCTAGTTGTGGTTTGCAGTGGTGTGGAACGTTATTGTATCAAGACATGTTGTCAGTGCATTGTTCAATAAATACCTTTCCATCAGTGTCAACATTATTATTTTTGAACAGCAAAAATAATTGATATAATAAAGGCCTTGTAACGGATTTCTTGGGATTACTAATGTCTGCCCATACATCAGAATGATTGTGATTTATGGGTGTTATTTACACAACTACAGAGAGGTCGGGCATTTGGTGGGAAAAGGTCTTTATACAAATACGTCATTATATTGTTCCACAAATTAATAACGATGCTTTATTCAAGTCAATGGTCAGCATGCAACTGTGCCTCGTGTGTCATCTGAATTCAGTTTTCTCTCTGTATCTTAATAACATGACCAAAAATGATAAAAACAGATTGAATAAAAATAAGAATAAGAATTTTGAAAATCGTACATACGGAGATAGCTGCATTTTGTTAGTGCAACTTGTGCTGACCAACACATCAGAGGATGTAAAAACTTGGACATGATGGTGGACAACCTAGATGGCCCTGTGCGTTGAATTTGAAATCTGTTCAAGATAGTTGCCAGTTACTTCAGCCGCCATTACTGATTCTGAAGGCGACAGCAACACGTAGGGGCTGAAATTTGGACAAAAACACCTGACATCCACATACGGGTGCATTAAAAAGAGAAAGGCTACAAAATGACGACGATAGACTGTTGGGAATAAATCCATTCCACTTCTTAGAACAAAGATTCGAATTTAGCTTGTAATGTGTAAAATGATATGGAAAGTTGCGCAGGCAAGTCAGAGTGAAAAACTGTAAGACTGCACTTCTGACAGACTGTATCGGTGCTGCTCTTCTGGTTAGCAACATGGTTCAAGTGGGCGCCGCATTTGACTCTTGAGTGGTCTTGTGGTGAATAATAGTGCCACCTGTTTTTATCCTTTAGGGATAAATGCGCCTATTTTGAGTATATTACACAACCAGGGATTTAAATGAGACCTGGTGTTTGTTGGAGTGGAGGCCACTGATTTTGGGAATGTGCTCCTGTATTTACTTTTACCTCCACACACAAATAAGCTCCTCAACTCAAGTAGACACTTCCACGGAGGGGAATGGATCTTTCAATTGATTGAGTTCATGGATCCTAATGAACATTAAGGAGTCGAGCTCAAGGGAAAGGCATTGCTAACCAAAAGAGCAAGACCTGCCGAAGCTATTCAACAACCCATTTGTGAAACGAAACTCTGTTGTATTATCCACTATTAGGATGTTCGTACAATTAAGTGTCTGATAACTGAACACTACATGATGAATTCAGGTTGTGTTCTTGAGCCTCTGGTCCACAAAGGAAGTCAATGTGATCTGGTAGTTGCGTTTTTTTTTTTTAGGGGGGGAGGGGGGCGGGTTGTAATGAGGAAAATTAAACTAAAACACGGAAAACAAACTCATCCGTTAACTTACGGCCAAGAGCAAGTTTCGTGGATTGTCTTATTTGTCTTGCTACCCAAACTTGGGCCTGAAAGTTTGACAAGAACAGATGAAGTGAAAACTTTGCCTTTAAGTTTCAGTTGCTGACAGAGGAAGAAAAAAGGAGGAAGGAGGAGGAGGGCGGTGGTGGTTGTAACTGGGCCTCCATATAAGGTCACATGCGGCCCTGGCGTAGACAGCAGAGGAAAACATGCTCACTTCGAGCTTACGTAAACAGAGCAGCTCACAAGAGTGCAGCCTCCTTCAAGCACCCACTGGAAGAAAGGCGGGGGGCAACTGTGGAATTTGAAAGGGGAACATGTTGGTAAATTCCTTAACTCACATCTTTGACAGGCTTGGATGTAAGGACATTTTTGGAAGGGTCATACCAACATTGTGAGGAGAGCGATAAACACTGTTTGGAGTCAATGGCGGAATCAGTTTCGGTTCAAAACTGTTGTCGATTGTTTTTCAGTATTGTCAAACGTGTCCCTAAACACTCAAATACACTAAAAACACATTTGATGTTTGGACATTTCATTCAATTTCATTCCTCCGTATTCTGTAGCGCTTTTCCTGGCGATTCAATGAGCGAGAGGCAGAATGCACCGTGGACCAGTTGCAAGACACATAAAGTTTCTAATATTTTTGTTATCAGAAGCAGCGTGAGAGTGAAAACATTGGCATGAAAGACCTAAAACGTCATCCCGGTGTGTTAGTCGAGGCCATGAAGGCAATGGAAAAATGTGCTTTGTTTCTCAGGAGACAACTATGATGTCTGCGCCATCTGCCTGGACGAGTACGAGGAAGGAGACAAACTGCGGGTCCTGCCATGTTCTCATGGTGAGTCCAGCCTGTATGGACACTCAAGCTGAATGAGTTCAACATTATTGACTTGAGCACTTGAGCAACCAAGTACAGTCGATTGCCAGACCGGCATGGACACTCAAGCTGAATGAGTTCAACATTAATGACTTGAGCAACCAAGTACAGTCGATTGCCAGACCGGACTGGTCCGTGACGAGTAAAAATCCGCATTAGAACTGGTTCCCAATTGAAATGCATTGGGGGAGAAAAAATTTTCATCCTGAAAAGTCTTAACCAAAAAAAGTAATAAACATTTAGTCTCTGTTTCCTACAAAAAATGGGGGGCACGTTTATTTTACTGCCCAAAGTTCATTCCCGTGAATAAAAAATGCCAAGAAACTTGCATCATACCCTCTGAGCCCTGCCATATTCAATCGAATAATAATCCCACTGAATTGAACCAAATTGAATCATTCCTCTTTCAAATCAAGCAGTCCTTGAATCTTATTGCACCCCATGTATCGAGATACATATGAAATCGTCTTTTATCGGAGCGCTGCACACCGCTATTTATAAATGTTCAACAGACCACAAGGCATTTTCCACAATGCAGGCTTTTATGACTAACCCAAGACAAGCTTCCCAGTCTGGGGCAACATTTGGGTGACACATCCTGTCAAAAGCCAGGCTTTCAGAATAAAAGCTTTGGTGTTGTGGTGGCTATATGTAGCAGTTGCACTCAACTATTTGGTTTGTAAATAAGCTACAACATGAGCCCCAAAATTGCTGGGAAGTTGTTTTATTATATAGTATGCTCTTATTTTGAAAATCTGATTTTGGATAGAATGTTACGCTGCCGCCCCAACATGCCGATAGACGCTGTGATGAACCCTTTTTACATAACTAATAATTCAGATGTACACACTTCAATTTAGGGAAACAAACGGTGGAGTTTTTAGGTTTGAAAAATGCGTATAAGGAAACCAAGGTTCCACTGTACCCTACTTTTTGTGAGTACAGCTCGGTTTGGTGTGCAGTCACTCCTGTTCCCATTGGGAACAAGCTGATGTTGTTCCCTTGGCTGTTGGCATGGCTCCAATTATAAACCACATGTAATGAGCGATTGTCCCCACAGCCTACCACAGCAAATGCGTGGACCCCTGGCTGACCAAAACCAAGAAGACGTGTCCGGTGTGCAAGCAGAAGGTAGTGCCCTCGCAGGACGACTCTGACTCTGACGAGAGCGGCGGTGAAGAGAATGACGAGGCGTCCGAAAGCACCCCGCTGCTGCGCTCGCTAGCCTCCACCAGCGCCCACTCCTTCGGCACCATGTCGGCGGCGTCCCGCTCCGACCGCGACCAGGGGGAGTCCTCAGAGTACGAGGACGATGAGGTGGATGAAAGCAGCGACGGCGAGGAGGAGGTCACCGTGGTGGTCCAGATGCAGCGATCAAGCCCGGAAGGCCACGATCATGACCTGCTTCGAGCTTGACCCTTTCTTGGGGACAACTCACTGTTGACCTTGATATACTCCCCTTACATATTCATAGGTACTGTATATTTGATTGCAAGCTGGCGAATGAAGCGTTGAAGGAAGTCTGCTGCGCACCTGTGATAGGACTACACACGCAATGACTGTTTGAGTCACAAATACAAGATACACTCCTACAGGCCAAGGCCATGTCCACATGAGCACTGCGTAAATACACATGACCACATACACACAAAAATATATAAACAAACTGTTGTTCTCCATCGATTTTTATTGTACATACACAGATGCAATGGCTCTGCAGCTTCTTTTTTGAAGCATGTGTTTAAAAAAAATGCATATATTGAAGTTTCACCTCACTGGAAAGTCATGTTGAGAAATAAGTCAGTATTACAATAAAGTTTTAATTACACAAAAAAAAGTGTCATTTCATCTATGTAATGTTATAAGGGGAAAATGTTATACTGTATTTGAAATATTTTCAACAAGAAAATGATCAATTCAATTTGTGCCCACTAACCTCTTACCTTCACCATCACTTGATGTGACATAACTGCAATCAATCAAAATTTATGCAACCACACCCTAATTCAAAATTGTTGACAGTAATCGTTGAAATGAAACCATTCGTCCCACCTGTGTTGTTGCAGTCAAAAATATCACTGGACCCATTTTTTTTTTAAATGGTGGCTATCAAACATATGTGACCCTTAATTCGGCACTGCAGCAAATGGAACCGCAACGAGGACAAGCCCCATAGATTGTGGGTTAGTCATAAGATATATACTGTAAGTCGTAATATTAAGAGTACTTTGCTAAACCACACTATAGTCATATTTTCAAGAGGTTGAAAAAGGAGAAAGCCATGACAGCTTCAAGGTTGCGTAGTCTTCATTCTAGTAACATTACAACAGAACAGCCCTAACCATTGCTGAACTTTTCAGTCCAAAACTGCGAATGCACACTAAAAAAAGAATTTAACATGCGGCTAAACCACTGCACGCACGTGCGCTTAACTAATGGGCCTTCACTTACACAGAAATTATTGCAATGTTAAATTGCTTTTGCCTTTTGATTTTCTTTTGCCAGATTGTTATTGCAAATGCAGTTCCAATAAAAACACTGGAGGAAAAAAAAAAAATCAGGAAACACCATTTTTCTAAATCCATACGCTGAAAAGATGAATGACATTGGTAACAAACTTGTGAGAGCACTTCTGAATTTGAACAAACTCAAGAGCAGAACAGGAAACACTTCTCTGGTTGGAGCAAATTTATTTTTGATCTGTCTGAACAAGATAAATCAATATGGCATTCTTGGTTGTATGCATGTGAAATTCAATGCATTGACAGACTATCCCAGACGTAAGAAAACTAAAGTGAGAACAGAAATCAGCAACGGGGACTTTGAAACAGAGATCTGATGCTAACAAGAGGCTTTAACAGTGGAGCTGAAGCTGCGGGGAGGGGGGTGGGGGGACAAGTTATGGGAGGGAAAATTAATCTGAGAAGAGCAACAGACCTCTCTACATTATGGCACAGCATACACAGGTTCGGATCAAGCACATGTTGGTTCCATCCAACCCACCGCCCAAAGACATTACAATTGTAGGTTCTGCGCTCAGTGGACGATGAAAGAAAGGCAATTAATTCCACAGTTTCAGTTGTCAACATAGCGTAATGAGGATTTCTTCCAAATACAGTGCAGCTTCGGAAAAGGGGCAAGGACAATGGACGCCCCCCCCCCACAAAAAAAAAAAAACTAGCTCCGCGCTCACCTTCCCTGCCACTTAACCCGTTTGGTGTTTTGTTTCAACTTCCGAGCTTTTACTACACTTGGTCCTATCTGGAGGGGGGTGGGGGGGAGACCACATGCTTCAGGTGGTTAGAAAGCGAGAGAGACCTGTCCCACAAAATGGTAGGTAGCCTTTCATAAAACAAATTACAGGAACTGGCAAAAAAAAAAAAAATGAATCAAGTGCCTGAGTAGGTAACTGGAATGTCCATTGATTTTTGCCGTCATGTACAGGTACAGTAAAACTCTGCTGGATGATGGTTAAGTGAAACAAAACTACACCTTGACAAGGATGTGCGTGTCTGAAGTGTTTCATTATTGGGGGGGGTGAACATGACCCTGTCCAATGTAGTCGTTGGTGGGAGAGGAGGAAGTGATGAGCGACTGCTTCAGCGCTCCCATTTATATTTAAAAAAAAATAGGCAGTGGCCACTAAGAGAGCGCATACGGGACTTGTATCAATGGGCACCAAAGAAACATGAGGTGTTTGGCTTTCATTCTGCTGGTCTTTTGTCAAGTGACGAGATTTGTCATCTTGGCTATGGATTAACTACAAGGGCTGAGACTCTGTTGGGGGGAGGGGAAGGGGTCAGAAGAAAAGTAAGGAGCAACGAGGACAGGAAGTGTGAAATGCAACAGGGTGGTAGGTTGACAGGTAGCTGGTGGGTTGGGTGGCCTGGCACAGGATGCTTCAGTAGCCAGCCTTCCTCAGGTGCTGGGCCATATCGTATGCCAATGGGTTGAGCTGCCCTCCGTAGATACCTTCATTGCCCTTGACCACAATCATTACTATAACATAAAAAGGACAAAGAAAACACAAAATGAAATGGAGGGTGAGGGAGGGGGGGGGGGAATAAATTAAGAAAAAAATCTTATACATCTTTTGCGATGAGACATTTCTTTGGTTCAGTTTGCCTGTAACCAAACAATTTCCAAATGACAGACACAATGTGTCCTTTGCTGTACAGTATTTTCCGCACTATAGGGCGCACCAAAAAGTCTTCCATTTTCTTAAAAGCTCACCGAGCGCCTTAAAATCCGGTGCGTCTTGTGTATGGTCATTAGGGTAATATGTCGACTCCAAGATGGCTCCTTCCTGGAGACATGCTTCGAATGTTATAACTTGCTGTTGGTTCAGTGAATTGTGTCACTGCTAAATTAAATATGTTTGTGTTGCAGCTCCGAAAAATGGAGAGCTGTGGTGTTTATTTTTTAAAGCAGTCTCAATAAATACAGGTAGTGTTTGTCTGTCCCCGTGCCTTCTTCCCTTCGACTCTAGAGGTGTTCAAGACCGCCTCCGAAAAAGGTAAACTAACTATTACTTCCATGAAACTACAAAAATTGAAAATAATATATCAAAACTGAAAAGCAAGCGAGGATATCACAAAATAAATTCTATAGCCCCCCAACAGAATTTATATTGTGATTTCATCATTTGTGAATACACAACAAAGGAATAACTACGACTGACATCTGATCGTACTGTTGGAGCTACAATCAAGGAAATGCCAATGCGTTTTTCAGAGGTGTTCATGAACGCCTCTCGAGTTGACCGGAAGAAAAGAAGGCACGGAGACAGACAGAGACCCACCTGTATTTGTTGAAAAAAGGAGACTGTGGTTGTGATTTTGTTTAAACGCAGACTTTATTAATGGTTTTCACAGTCTCAACAAATACAGGTACTGTACGTCTTTGTCCGTCTCCGTGCCTTCTCTTCCGTTCCACTCGAGCGGTGTTCATGGCTGCCTCCAAAAAACGGAAATTACTTTAATGAAACCACGAAGAAAATCAAGCGAGGAAATCACAAAATAAATTCCGCAGGGGGGTGCTTCCAAACCCGGAATTTTTTTGTGTTTGTGAAATCCTGCCGAGTGGGTGATGCCATTACATTGTATGCGTGCACTGGTGCGTCGTTCTTACTACCTTGTAGTAGTGACCCAAATCGATCTGTAAACACACTCCCCCCCAAAAAAGGTAACGTCTTTGGTACACATCCCTAGCCACTGCTATCCAGCCAAAACACGCATGGGTATGAGTCACATTTTTTGATTTATAAGCGCCTTCACCTGATGTCCGGAGGACTTTAATGAAGTATGAGCAACCAGGCAGCATATTATTCGAGGCGGAGACCTCATTTTATGACAACATGTCTGTTGTAGCTTGTACTCATTTAATTTTATTATACAGTAATATTAGGGTTGTGCATCAAGAATCAAGTAAAGCCGGGAGTAACATTTAGGTTTTCCTGGAAGTGTTCAGATTTTAAAATTGCAGTGCTGAGTTCACCACACGGAAGCTGATGAACACCAGCAAAGAAGGACCAATAATAAATGTGTACATGTGGCACGCAACAATACACTTGTCGCCGAACAACTACAACTGTGTGCGAGCGTCAAATTTAGAGTTGTGGTAATTGACACTACTCTGAGGAGATATGAAGTGAATGCCAAATATATGCGGAATACAATTGATAGAATGTCCCATATTCGACCTATCAGCAGTGACCTTCGGCTCCGACCTTCAACCTTGTAGCAGACCAAAATCAGGTAATTAAACCAAGAAAGTAAGTCTTTGCTTATACAACTTTATGGTAAAAGTTTCTATTACATATGTTCCTTGTGTCTCCTCAAATCCAGCTTGTTTGTCACGTTTTCCTTCGAGTGCTCAGTAGCATGCTTGAAGTATCTGCAGCATGACATTGTATTTTTGAGGTTCGAAAAACCTCTCGTGAAAATTTTAAGTTTGATAATATACTGTTTATAAACAGGCAGTTGAGAAGTTCACAGCTCAATTCATTAACAGCAGGGATGAAAGTGGACTTTTCCCTGAAAAATCCGCGAAAAAAAATTATATATAAACACAAGGCCGATCACGCATGAATTATTTTACACAAAACGCTATTCAAATACTCAACATTCAATGATTAATCTTCCTTTTGTGTGCACACGTGCACCCTTTGTGGCTTCCGTTCTCGCCGAAATTTCGAAATCTCCGAGATATGGCGAGGCCATGAGAATGCGAGGCGAGGGTATTACTGTTGTGGCGACGCCACTCGAGCTAAGCGCGCCTCAGCAGTAGATAGTCCGCTGCTCTCTGCTGTGCGTGCGTCAGCGAGAACATGTACGCAAGCGCGTCTTTTGATTTCAACCAATCAGCGCCGACGCAACCTACGCCACACAGGTCAACAGCTAAGCTAAGCTAGCCGAGACAACACTCTAATTCGGACGGACACGTTTTTCTGCCAACAAGCTTAGCATGGAACAGAGGGTGACAGTTCACTCGGGGGGCATGAGGGCAAGGGACTCTATGATGGCAGTCATGTACCTCACAGCACTTACCAGTGGAAGCTCTGCTCACAGCAACGTTGTACGTGGGCCCTCCACCTGCACATTTTGTCCGGATGTCCACTGACCATTCATTGTCTACATTAAAGCGGTCTCTGAGTACAGAGCATTTTTCATTTCCCAGGGTCAGGCCAGCGGTGAAGAATGTTACACGATCCTTTGACGATGCCAATATATCAATTTCGGCAGGCTGCAAAAAACAAACAAAAAAAAGGTACAGTTACAACAGTATTTATCTGGTGGGTCAGAACACAAGTGTGGGTCACAGACTGGTAGCTTAAAAAAAAAAAAAAAAAAAAAACCTCCCCAGTTTATAATGACAATAACACAAACATTTTCTGGTTACGAACAGCATGCAGAACACACATTCGCAGAGTAAGACTGTCACCAAGTGGCATGAGAAGGTTCACACAGTTGTTACCCCCAAAACCTCCCCACTCTGAACATGCATCTCAAGCGTTATTACTTGGGACATATAATACACCTTCGTACCATACCAAGTCCACCATAAAGTAAAATTTGGTTTGAGACGTTTTGTGCAATTGTGACACAATTACACAATACAAAAGTGTGCGCATGAAAGGGAGCGAGGGCCGATTGATGTACTGCAATGCCGTGGGTTGTGCGCAAGAGGAGTCACAGCCGCTGATGCACAATCAGCCAATTACACCGTGGAACAAAAATAAAATGCTGTTCAGATTTTTCTGCTGATTAAAATTGGCATGCTGATTCCAAATTTGCAGTCAGGTTTTTTTTTCCTAGCACGGTATGTTCTTGTTTGTTTTTTTTTTCCTTCACAGCTTACCAGATAAGTAAAAATTCCACTCAATACCTGTGGTAAGTCTGTCTATCTTATTATATGATTGGAATCATCTTTCAAGTCATGGCAACATGCAGTCACAATTGATGTGATGGTGTGGTAAGAGGTGTGTGCGGCTCCAAATCACTCAGTACTATCTATATGTGCAAAGAGAAAGCTAGCATCGTCGGAATTAAGATGGCTTTTTTCTTAACCTAGTAACCGTGGACATACCGTTCTAAGCTTTTATTTTTCAAAGCTTGTCACTTACATGTTTTATTGACATAAACACGTTTAAAACAGAAATCCTACAGCTCTAAAACTTAATGTGACAGAAAAACTAAAGAAAGAAAAACTAAGATCAGTTTTGCATTACGCACCCAGAAATTAGTAAAAAAAATAATAAAATAATCAAAGAAAGTAACCGTCAGACCAAACGCAACAAAAAATGATTTTCCAGTATCAAATGGGACAAACAAAATGACAATACTCGCGAGAACATAGGCAATAAATAACTCATGCAAACCAATTCCAGCACCAGACCCAACTACCTGGGCACACATCCAAAAGCATACAACAGTATGTTTCATAATTACCAGAGTAGTCTTGATCTAATCACGTGATTGGAAACGTTCACATTACATCTTATCATCACGGCCGACGATTGGCTTCTTTTTTTAACTGTACCGGGTGCAAACTTTAAAACATGTACATGAAGATGCAACTCACAAGTCGGGTGAGTACTGCGTGTACGTTCCTGTATATTTTATGATGACACTTCCCGAGGTACACTGACAGTTCAGTAAGTAAAAGGAACACTGCAAACCTGTAACAGCTACAAAAACCAAAAAGGAAAATTTACAACACATTACATGCCGCCTTTGTCTAGAAAGCTTGTGTTCTTGAATAGCGCCTCTGAAAACACACACCACCCTGCCCGAAATCATGAAGATCGGCGATGAATTGACACCCCTATAAAGAGGTTTATCAATGTGTGTAGATGACTCACGATGGCAGCAAAGCACTACTTTTCTGTTTGCGAAGGCGATGGCCTGTCTGAATGATTTGAAGCTCCTCCACTCACTTCAGTTTCTCGACACAAGGATCCCAAAAGATAGCCCCAAAACAATACTTCTTACAGTGGCTTCAGTTCAAACAGTGACAAGGTGAGTTTTTCAGGGAACAAGGGATCTGTTCCCCAACCCCCTCCCTGGTTTTATGGTCTACAGCACTAAAGATGCCGTGTGGCGCTGTCAAGTATTTCCATATCATATATTGGCATTTAAAGCGTGTGTGCTTTTTAACCGCATACGCCTGCATTTACTGTAACGATAGAAACATCAGCCGCTCTCATAACAGCTAGCTTCGTTGCATTCCGATCATGCACGCAAATATTTTCAAATTGGACAGGGGTTGCTATCTGTGCCTATAGCGGTTTGATCCTTACATTATCAGCAATCAGTCTTGAATTTATTTACAGCTTTGCAGTCAGCCAATAATTTAAAAATATCCATTCAAAGGTCTTCTTTGGGGTTTTCTTCTTCTGTCAGTCATGTATGTCATTACATGGGTGCATCCAGTGTTCATAGATATTTTCTACAAGGTGTCCATATATTTCACAGATGTAATTAAATGAATCTTTAATATGTAGAATATTTTAGTTATAGTTTATTAAAAATTAATTTCTTGGACTTTGAATCATGACATTAATTGTCTTTTATTACAAATCATTTTTTTGTGATGCCCCCACAACAGCATGCTTGTTCAATCATTGACATTGCATTGCATCAAGACAAAGTTGGTGAGTCACTGATTCATAGAAGATTTAAAGAGATAATGACCAAATTCTGACACAAGACATCAGCGCAACGCAAGCATCATACGGGGCCAGTGCTGGTTCCGGCAGGGCCACAATTTGGCCTCTGGTGGCCAAGTCCGGCCAGCAATCAAAAAAGCTTAAGGTTGAACCATGTTATTTTTACTGTTACTGATTAATTGGCAGAAGTGTAGAGCAAGACAGTCAGCGGCCAAAAAAAAAAAAGAAAAAAAAAAGGAGAAAGCTCGTGTTCTTGAATATGTAAATTTCTCGCTTCCAAGTGTATCTCGACATTTCTGTACAGCATGGTGTAAAACAATGGTTGCAAACATGGAGGAGCTTGCCATCTTAACTTTCACACATCAATAAGTTTCTTCAGACTGGTTCGCACAACCAGCATAGCACCGTTCTGAGAACATGGGTTCAAACTCAGGCTTTGGCCTTTCTGTGTGGCGTTTGCAACTTTGCATGTTCTCCCTGTGCCTCCGAGTTACCTCAGGGCACTGCATTGTTCTCCCACATTCCAAAAACATGCCTGGTAGGTTAATTGAACAGTAAATCATCCGTGGGTGTCAATTTGAGTGAATGGCTGGTGACCAGTTCAGGGTGTAACCTGCTTCTCGTACAAAGTCAGCTGGAGTAGTCTCCATCATACCAGTGGCACCATTGAGGATAAGCCATCAAGAGATTGGATGGCGAGCTAAAACGCATCGCACGGGTCAAGTCTAACAGCAGAAGTGCAGAGTCATTGGGTAGCACCGCCCAGCACAGCACATGCTTTGTGCATTCAAGAAGCGGAAATGCAATTGTGCGATAGCCTCGCGACATGCTTCGAAGTGGGGCCCTGTGCATTCGACAAACGACAGGGCGCTTCACAGCTGCCAGTCCAAACTCTGCCCTTACAATCTTAATAGCGAGACGAGGGAAAACCCATTCAAAGAAAATGCAGTAACCCAGTGTGGCCCACGCCCTGGCGCTAATGTTAGGAGCAGGCTTTGTAAAACGGGGCAAAACTACACAAAGCTTGTACACGACAATTGCGTAGAATCGGAAAACCAATCTCGTCAGCGTTTCTTTTCACAGCGCAATCTAACACGCACACAATTAACAAAAATGATTGTTATGGAGAAGCCAGGGTAACTTTAGAAGTAATGCTAACGCCAAAAAATGAGATCATACGAGTAGAATTGTGCCACGCTAATGTTTCCAGGCACACACGAAAATAATCTTTCGGCCGTGGAAACATTTTCGCATTTCCCCTCCACGTCAACTGAATAAGACTGGAAGAACGCCCTCCGGACGGCAAATGGACGATCGAAAATTACTCAATAATGTTTAGAATTAGAAGTTCACTGGTTTCACAACAAACTACTTCACCAATCAATTAAAATATACTTTTCATGCCAACAAAAGACTGGTTAAAAGCCGGCACAATTAGATACGTTCGGGAAACCAGTCACGCCTTTCGGCTTCCGGCTCAAATGCGCGGTTCCGAACGCCAAATGGCTGACGCCTCTGCTAGCCAGCTAGCCTCCCCGTGGCCGCACGGAAGCTCGCGTTAGTCATGTTTAGTCTTACCACTTGACACTTAATCTCGTTTATAAAAGCAATTCACATCAGACGTTCCAATAAAAGTAAGTTTTGAAACCGGAAGCCCAAACACTTAGACGCCATGTGTGCTACAGCGCCCGACGAGGCCTTCTCAAACACACGCGCGGCTATGCGCGTTTTCTTATGAGGCTAAAAGTAACTGTAAAAATGTGAGAAGGAGCATACTAACCGTGATCTTGGCAAACTCGCCGCCGGGATGTGCCGCCCAGACGTATTTGTTGTCACAGAACCCAACAACGGCCGCGTCCTTGCAAATGCCACTAGCCATCAAAGTGTCCACGTAGCCTTGCCAGGCGGACATGGTTTCTGACGATAGGTCTAATATAAAAGGAACCTGGGTCTAGAAAGTTTTACCACCGCGTCTCCACCGACAAAGGAAGAGAGACTACCGCTGTAGATGTCAGTTCCAGGCCCCCAGCTTTCTTCTACTCTCGGCACCCAAGAAAAGCCACAGCGGCTAGACAAGGACTTGGGTGTAGTCTTGATTAAATCACTCCGCGAGGGTGGTGATTGGACCGTTGCTTCATTGCGTAATATAACACATGGCGGATGAATACAATCGTATACGACCTACTTTATTGTGTGATTCTCCTCATACAGTCCACTCTATCACACTTAAGTGATTTTTCTGGAACACAAATGACTTATTCATGTGTATTCGTAACACGTTCGACTAAAGAAACTATTATATGTGACTGGTTTTAAGTGTACGCAAATGTCAAGTTTCAACACGTGTGAACAGACACCCCGACTCCACGTTAAAAAGTACAAGTGAAACCACATTGAACAGAACTGTACAAATGCACGAGAATAGAAATTCTATCAGTGTTCGTCGCGTCGATAATGGCCAACGTGGCAAAGCGAAACTTGTTCGAGCGCTGCGTGGTTTATGGCGGTTAAAGGCCGAAGTGTAGTTACGTTGGCACCAACGTCCTGACGTATCATGATTTCAACGTATGTGCTCTCAGTACATTAATCCCTCGCTATAACACGATTCAGCTTTCACGGCATCGCCGTTTCACCTATTTTTTACAGTGCATTGTGTTCTGCATCCTGATTGGCCAAGGGACTGTCGACTAATATCAACAGTCTCGTTGCCTCATCTCTGTACATCTTTTCATTGTCAGTTGTTTGTAGAAAAATGTTTATATTTTTGTTTGTTTTTTTAATGCTTCGGAGTGCAAAAAAGGTTTAATATTTGGTTTCATTGAATACTGTATTGTATTGTATTGTATTGTATTGTATTGTATTGTATTGTATTGTATTGTATTGTATTGTATTGTATTGTATTGTATTGTATTGTATATGTAATAATTGTAAAAAAAAATAAAGATGACTACTTCACATATTTCACTTATCACAGGTTCTTTTGGGGGCATAGCTCCTGCAATAAACGAGGGATTACTGTATAGTCTTTCATGTCTCTGATGTTAACTGGTACATCTCTGCTGTGTTTCTTTTGAGGTGACAGCCAGGGGTGTCAAACCTATTTTTGCAGTTTCCTTCATTTCAATCTTAACTTTTTTTTTTAAACTGAGGAAATGTGCTGAATCAGTTGGCTACGCCTCCTTTTAATTTTTATCACGTGAACTGTATGGGTACATTTACTAAGTACACAGTAAAGTCTAGTCATTTAAAGTATTTTTCACTGTTGTTCCAGATTCTAAAAGAAGCTAGCATGCAAGCATGCATCCTGTACTTGCATTTTATCCCCCCCCCCCCATCTACATGCTCCCTTATCAAGGGGACATAGCCGTGAACGTATTGTTTCAGCATCCCAAAAATACCATTGTTGATTGCTATAATTATAATGTGTTTTATTCTTATTTAGAAGCAGAAGTGTGACACAAAAGATTTCCACGATTCTGACTGATCATGTGAAATGTCTGTGAATGTAATTTTGGAGTTTGGAAATGCAGCCTACACAATGTCCGGAAAAAAAGCAACAAGTAGCAGTAACCAGATTATATTCATCATTGTGCAGCAAAAAAAACAATTTTAAAAAATGTCTTGAATCGACGAGTATGCCTTTCGTGATTATGAGAGGAACTTCAGGCTTTCTCTTTAAGTGTCCTTCAGGATGGGGCACGCCTGAGCACCTTGGATGAGGTTGTCCTATTCTAAATGGAATGTAGCATTCGGCTCTGTGCTCTCGGTATCATTTCAAGGCGTACAAAACAGGTTTGGAAAACAAGAAGTATTTGTTGCTCATTATTATCGCATAGACCTCTAGCTTACTGTACATTGCATTACATGTGAAAGTTAACATTTGAAGCTATAGTTTATTCAGTTTGATAAATTACTGCTAACTCCCTCTTCTTTATTCTTTGGTATTCTTGAAGCAGAAGTTTGACCTGTGGACAGGGCAAAGTGATGGTGTTTAAATCAGATGCGGAAAATCAGCATGGCAAGCCTGAACAGCCTGTGACAAGTTGAAAACAAGGCCACACATACTTCACATCCCTAAACGGGTGGTGAATAGTTCAGCTGACAAATCCTTACACCGTGTTCAGGCTCGTTTGGGGAACAAAAAGACATTCTTGAGGGACAACAAATTCAAACTTCTGGTACTAAAGGTGAAATGCTACGAAGCTAATGATTTAAAACTCCTATGTAAAGACAGTAATAAAAAATATGTGTATTTTTTTTAGCTAAAATATTTTTGTTTTTATTTTTGTACGCCTTTTTTCACCTGTATGGGCCTTATTTATTTACTCAGCATTAGGGCTAATGCTTGAATAATTTTAGAATTGATTATTATATTGGTTATTCCATCACTTCATTGAATAATTCAATTTTTATTTTGATTCTTAAAACAGTTGATAATTGGATGAAAGATTCATTTTCAATTAGTCAATGCATTTCGATACCTCTCTTTGCCCATTGACTCTTGTTAAAAGTTTGATATATGCAGTAGTTCTTCAATGCAATAGATAGCACATGGGACCAAGGTGGGGTGCAACATTTCAGGTCTCAGAACTGGCCACATTCCGACTGGACACTATGCCTTCAGCACTTTGGTGAGTTGAATAATGTTATTGTTACAGAATAAATTAAATGATGTTAAAACAAACAACAGCATTTTCTTAAATCAAAGTTTTTGTGAATATGCATTGTTTACAATTATTATTCTCAGCAATGTTTCAACAGATTTCATAGGTTGTAAAGAACTGCAAATAGTGATTTGTCAAATATGCAGCATTAGGCAAGGCTAGGCAGCTTTCTGTATAGAGCATATTTCATACACGAGGCAGCTCAGTGTGCTTCACACAAGTATAGACACAGCACCTAAAAGCATTTACAAACACAACAGCTCATCACCTTCCAAAGCAAAGCAGAGAAAACAAAAGTAGCTTACCAGAATTACTAAAAGAAGCAGCACACAGTGACAACATTTAAACACATTCACACAAGACCTTAAAAACATCCATCCATCCATCCATTTGCAACACCACATATCCCGTACATGGTCGCAGGGGTTGCTGGAGCCTATCCCAGCTGGCTACAAGCGAAAGGCAGACTACAACCTGAACTGGTCGCCCGTCAGTCACAAGGCACCTACAGAGATGAACGACCATTCACACCCACATCCACACTGTCACCAAGTGGGAACCAATTCCACGCTGCCCGCACACAAGTTAGGCGAATGTACCACTACACCATCAGCGACTCCTTAAAAAAATGTAAACATTTAGCAAAGAAATAAAAGTAGGTTCTTAAAATTGGTGAAATAAAAAATAAGATTTAAAATGTTCAGAAGACCTGAATGAAAGATGGGACCAATAGCAGAATTTTTTGCTTATTGGGAGCCATTGTGAAGGGTTGAAAACTGGAGTGATGTGTTCTGATCCCTTTGTTCTGGTCAGAACCTGAGCTACAGCATTCTGAATGAGCTGCAGCTGTTTGATGCAATTTTCTTGATCTAGTCAGAAGGCAGTTACAATTAGCAAGTCTGCTGGAGATAAAAGCATGGATAAGTTCCTCCCGGTCTGCTTGGAGTATGCAGTGCTTCAGTCTGGATATGTTTTTGTGCTGGTAATAGGCTGTTTTAGTGATTGATTTGATATGATTGCTGAAAGTCAGGTCTGAATCGATCAGAACCCCAAGATTTCGGACTTGGTTTTTGGTCTGGAAAGACAATGATTGCAGGTGTTTTGTAACAGCATTAGGTTTTCCTTATAAGGTGATCGAAATTCAACAAAAAGTCCATTTGAGTTCAACAATTTTCTAGGGTGTAGGTGTCCTCTTGCCAAAGGGTTTATTTGTGAAGCAGATTGAACTGACTTTAATGCTTAAAACTAAAGATTTGCAGCTTCATTTCAAGATTGAACATGATATTCTTAGTTGCATTCCAGCAAAATATAACGTGTATCGTTGTGATTTGAAATGAACAGCAGGGCATCACTTTTATCCATCCAATTTCCGATCCGCTTTATCCTCACAAGGGTCACGGGGGGTGCTGGAGCAGTAGGCAGGGGACACCCTGAACCGGTTGCCAGCCAATTGCGGGGCACACACAGACGAACAACCATCCGTGCTCACACTCACACCTAGGGACAATTTAGAGCGTTCAATCAGCCTGCCACGCATGTTTTTGGAATGTGGGTATAAACCAGAGTACTCGGAGAAAACCCACGCAGGCACTGGGAGAACATGCAAACTCCGCACAGGAAGGCTGGGGCTGAAATAGAACCCTGCACCTCTGCACTGTGAGGCCGAGTTGCTAACCACTTTACAGCGGGCCGCCGCATCACTTTTATGATGATGATTATTATTTTTTAACAGAAGAAGTTGTCACGCCTTCCTGGTGCAATTCAGGCAGAGTGCATTAAATATTGAGTAGCAAAACGAGAAATGGAAGCATGTTGTTCCTCTTTGTTCTGAGCAAATGTCTCCTCTTGACTCTCAAGCTGTGGCTTGGACACACACAAAGAAAATCTATAATTGAGCAAAGAATTTTACGCATTTTGTGTCCACTGGGCAGAGGCGGAGAGGGTGACATTGTGTTATCTGCTCTTTCTCTACAAGACGTGTGTCGAGTAATTTCAGTGTATGTCACACATACACTGAAATTATCTGAAAATAGCACGTTATTCCTGTTTGACTGACAGTCAACACATAAGCAAGGAGAGTTAGTCTTCTTGTGTGAACAAGCCCTGTTTCAAATTGGGGAAATGGTGATGGTGACACAACGTGTATTCACAGGCATCTTTCTGCTTCCTGTTCCTTCTCGAGTTGAGTGAGAATCAGGAAATGCAACGGTATCACGCATTTCATTTTTGTGAGTGACATCTACATTTGGCAGTGAAGCCTGTTGCTGCTGTCCTACTTCACATCTAGCTCGCCTCACACTGACAGCTTTGTATGATAATGTTGAGTCTGGAGTGAAAGGCTGCAGTGTTCCTGGCCGATGAATAGTCATAATGCACAGAGTAGGATGAAGTGAGTTCTTTCAATGGACATTCTTATGGTGCTTCTCTCATC